GAGCCCTGGATATCACATAGGGAAAATAGAAGACTCTGGAAGGTGGAGAGATGGAAGGAGACTGGCTGGACCTTAGGCTGTGAGGAACACATGTCAGATGAACCCCCAGGTTTTCTATTTCTCTTTATATCCTGGACTCGGAGCTGAAGAAGCACACAACTGGGCAACACCAAGGGGCACAGAGCAGCCCCTCCAGCAGAGTATTCTCTGTATCCAAAGTACTAGGAAACATGCAGTCTTGCAAGACAGAAAACTGGGTAATAACTGTTTCACTACGGCAAAAATTACAGAGAAAGGACCATGGCCCACCCTCACCTGCACCAACAAAAACCAAGAGGCAAGCTTAGACGTCCACCTTTGTGGCACTCAAGTGAGGCTTGTCTCCAACTAGGCGCGCACAGAGAAGGGAAGGATGAAAATCAGCCCTCTCCATCCATAACTGCCAGGGCAGCGTCAGAGGCATCGTGGTGGGAAACCAGACTTTTATGACTACCCATCAGGGGTAATGAGCAACCCCCTCCCCCTGCCCCACATCGTGGTGTCCGTTAGGACCCAGGGAGGAGCTGGAACTTCCATGTCCAAGCACAAGTAACAAAGAATTCACCAATTTTGGATCTCAATGGAGGCTGAGCAGGGAATGTGGACCTCTACCCCTTATGTAGCAGTAACCAGGCAGCATCTACACCTTTTCCGACCAGAGCAGAGAGGTCAACCACACAGAGGATTTCATAATCCAGGGCACGTTTATCGCACAGTGGGTTAAGGCACACTAGGGACACAGCCACCCCAATAAGAGGGCAGGCTTGCGTTCTGCCACCTGCACCTCCAGTCCAGCTTCCTAATGCCTGTTCAGGATGCAGTGCCCACATCCCGTATGGGCACCAGTTCGAGTCTCAGCTGCTCCACTTCTGACCCAGCTCCCTGCTGATGACCTAGGAAAGCAGTAGAAGATATCCCAGGTGTTTGGGTCCCTACACCCACATGGGAGACCCAGAGGAAGCTCCTGGCTTCTGCCTTCTGATCACCCAGCTCCACCCGTTGAGGCCATTTGGGGAGTGAACCAGCAGATGGAGGACCTCTCTGTCTGAAACTCTGCCTCTCAAATAAATCTTTCAAAAAAAAAAACAAACAAACAAATAAATAAATAAATAAATCTGGCTTCAAGAAACAGCTAAAGTAAGAAAACTGTGTGGTGTATGTAGATGGGTACGTGGATAGACGATGAGAAGAGAATAGGGAACTAAGAAATAAAGCAAAGATGTTCAACTTATTTTGACAAAAGTGAAGAGCAAGTCGACAGCAGAAAGGTAGACTTTTTACACTTGATCTCAGTGAAAAGGCCAAGAGCGATAAAGGTAAGATTTTTAACAAATAGTCCTGGAGCAACAGGCTACCCAGAGGAAAACAATTAAACTCAACCTAAGTCTCACAGCTTGTTTAAAACGGAGCTCAAAATGAATCACAAACTTAAATATAAAATGACAAAATGTCCAGAAAACTATAAAGCAGTAAAGAATGAGGTAGGGGCCGGCACCATGGCTCACTGGGTTAATCCTCTGCCTGCAGCACCGGCATCCTGTATGGGTGCCGGGTTCCAGTCCCGGTTGCTCCTCTTCCAGCCCAGCTCTCTGCAGTGGCCTGGGAGTGCAGTGGAGGATGGCCTAAGTGCTTGGGCCCTGCACCCGCATGGGAGACCAGGAGGAAGCACCTGGCTCCTGGCTTCGGATCGGTGCAGCGCCGGCCGTAGTGGCCATTTGGGGAGTGAACCAACGGAAGGAGGATCTTTCTCTCTGTCTGTCTCACTCACTGTCTATAACTCTACCCGTCAAATAAATTTTAAAAAATGTAAAAAAAGAATGAGGTAAATACTTTAAGACATGTATTTACAAACAACACAGATGACAAAGGACTAGTATCTAGAAAATGTAAAAGACTCTCACAACTGAACAGTAAAATAGCAATCCAGTTAGAAAACACACATTCCACCTAAGAAGTATGCAGTCGGCATATATGCCCATGAAAAGATGTTCCATGTCATTACCCATGAGGGAAATGCAAGTACAAACCACCCTGGGATGTCAGTATAGACCTATCAAATTGGCTCAAATAAAAATCACTTAAAATATGCAATGCTAGCAAGGATGTGAGAAACTGGATCAACCCTACCTTGCTAATGAGACTATGAAATGGTACAGCTACACGGGCAACCAGCTTGGTAGTCTCTCAACACTAAATTAATAATAAATTAAATTAAAGTGCCAGAGGTTTTTATCCCTCAAAAATTAATTCCTACATTCATGTAAATACTTCATGTCTACAGCAGCTTAATTTTTAATAGGCAAGAACTGGAATCAACCCTGATGGACCTTAGTGGGCAATACCAGACCATCCATCCCACGGATGTTAATACAAAGGATGGAACTATGGGTACACACAGTGACCTATAGGAACTATGGGTATGCACAGTGACATATAAAACTATGGATACACAGTGACCTATAGGAACTATGGATACACACAGGGACCTATAGGAACTATGGGTACACACAGGGACCTACAGGAACTATGGGTACACACGGTGACCTATAGGAACTATGGATATGCACAGTGACCTACAGGAACTATGGGTATGCACAGTGACCTATAGGAACTATGGGTATGCACAGTGACCTACAGGAACTATGGGTATGCACAGTGACCTATAGGAACTATGGATACACACACTGACCTACAGGAACTATGAATACACAGTGACCTATAGGAACTATGGGTACACACGGTGACCTACAGGAACTATGTGTACGCACAGTGGCCTATAGGAATCTCCAGAGACCCATGCTGACTGATAAAACCCAGTCCCTGGGGCACCTACTCTGTGTGACTGCACACAAATGACATTCAGGATGTGACTCAGTCATGGAGCTGTGGGACAGACTGGAGCCTGTCAGAGGAAATGGGTGTGGCTCTACGAGGATGACGTGAAGTCTTGTGAGGTCCAAAACATTCTCTCCCTTGGTTGTGCCCATTGTGGTCTCCTGGCTTTGGAACTGTACTGTAACTCTGCAAGAGGCTGGTTCTGCAGGAGACTGGATACAGGGTCCAGGGACCCTCTCTGTACTGGGTCTCACCCCATTACGTGAATTTATAGATACTGCAAAATAAACAGGAAAGTTCGACTTTAGAATTACTGAGTGAGGGAGAAGAGGCATGCTTCCGCACATTAAAAGTGTGAAAACTTTCTAGGGATAGTAAAGGAAAAGTCAGCCCACAAGTTCTGGTAGGACCCCTGCTGTCTTGGAGATTGGTGATCAGGAATTTAGAATGCGGCAATCTGCTCTGTTGTGCGAGTTTTCACACCTGCGCTGTGCCGTCTGGGTATAGAAACAGAGAAAACAGGTGGTGGGGTTTGTTCAGGACAGGGGCATGACAACAAGGTGCAAGAACAATAAGCAACCAAGGACAATTTTTCTCAGATCCCTCTGTTCTCTCCATGCTGCTTGGGCTCAGAATCCTGTTTGCACTTCTTATATGGGCCGAGTGTGTGCTCAGGGCCACACGGGTCCTTGGTCTCTGCCACACTGCACTGTCTGCCCTCAGCGACCGGAAACTAGCCTGGGCTCAGTCCTCCCGCCCTGTACTGCTACAGGTGCTGTGGTTAAGGATGAAGATGAAGGGGATCACAGCGACCCAGGTTGCAATGTGGACTGAAGCAGGGAACAGAAATTCTCCTAGTCTCTACTATCTGATTTCATGTGTAGTGAGAACTAAATGATAAAACACACACACACACACACACACACACACATGAACACAGAGCCAATCATTATTGAGTCAGCCCCCAGTATCTATTGACCCAAAGGGCTTGAATCTGGCCCCACCCCCACTGCCACACATCCCTCCTGGGTGGCCGTTCCCTGATTCAAGTTTTACAACCAGCATCTGCGTAAAACAAAGCCCTGGTTTATAGTGCCTGTGGATCTCCATGGTGTACGTGGCCCGTACAATGTACTAAAGTGACCACAATAAACACACCATAGGCTCTTGTGAGTTGTTAGCAGCAGGTTCCAGCACTGACATGGAGCTACCCTGGGCCACAGGTTAAGCCCTGCCTTGGCCCTTTCCTAAGAATTCCTTACTAGCCCATGCCCAAGAGGCCACCCGAACATGATCTGTTAGAAAGCTGCCCCCTTTTCTCTCCCAGGGATGACTCTGGGTAAAGGAGGCAGTAGTGTCATCTCTAGACACAAGAGAATGCCAACAATTCTGATGGACAGAGAAACACAACCTCAATTATAGCCAGGGGTCATCTCATTACTTGGATGGCCAACACTGCCCTCTGGGCTCTTTATACCACTTCTGTTTATCTCACAGTTGCTAGGAGCACCTGTCTGCAACTTTACTTCTCATAAGTTGTCCCAGGTCTTCCCTTTCTACTAAGACCAACATTTCCAAGAACAACAACCAGAAAAACTGCATGAAACAAAAGCATCTGGTTGCAGGTTATTTGGGAGCTACTGAAAGATCCAGGAGTTGAGGGCCACAGTCCCATGGAGAATGGTGTGAGGTGCTTCCCACTGGCAGTAGCCACTTTGGTCTGAAGCAAGGAGCTGAGAAGCCAGCCAGAGAATGGACCAGAAGCCAAGGGAAGATCATTACCCAGGCAGAGCTTTCCACATATCAGAACCAGGGGAACAAAAGTGGAGTTTGGGCCAATGAAAACATCCAGATCTTTTCAATGGTGATGTTTACTTATTTCAGGGAGCTGGGAGAACTCCCATCCATTGGTTTATTCACCAAATGTCCACAGCAGCCAAGGATGAAGCTGGGAACCAGTATCTCCATCCAAGTCTCCCTTGTGAGTAGAAAAAAAAAAAAAAACAATTATTTGAGCCATTATCACTGCCTCCCTGGGTCTGCCTTGAAAGGAAGCTGAAGCCAGGAGCCAGAGCCAGCAATCAAAACTAGATACCGTGACGTGGGATGTGGGCTTGAGCCACTAGGCTAACTGCCAGTTTCCAGCATCTAGACCTTGAGGGACCAAAATCCCGGAGAACAGCAGGTCACAGTAAAACACAAGCAGACCAGATGCCAGTTTTCCTACTACAACATTAGGTTAACAGACTAAGAAGTAGAGGGGAAGAAAGAATGGGAAAGAGGAGTGCAGGTTTTGGTCATTTTAGTAAGAGGCCAACTTACGGTTCTGAGAATCAGCCATCAGGAGGCGTTGGTAAACGTCGCTGATTTTCACTTGGGATCCCTGGAGGTCCACAGCCTAGGGGTGGAGACGAAGCCAGACTCTTCTAAGGAAGGAAATGCAGACTCGAGCCAGGGCCACCCCAAAAGATTGAGTTATGACCCTCATGCTATTTGCCTGGTCTATGATAGAGTGAATTATCTCTGGGCAATGAGATTATCATTCTGAGCCTTCATAAGTTTTTAATACAATGTCCAACTTTCAATAAGATGTTACCAGGCATGAACATAAAATAACCTCGCTGGCATCTAGTCCAGCACACTAAGGAGCTTGTAGATCATCAGTTCATATGCATAACAAGTGAAAAAACACTGCACAAACTCAAAACAAAAACAAAAACTTTTCCTAGCCTGGTCGGAGAAAAGAGCTCACAGGGTAAATCACTCCGGACCAAAATTTTAGACAAAGCAGCAGGGGCAGAGAATCCCAACCTCCATCAGGGGCTCTGGAGAGGAGCGGGATGGGAAAAGTCTCCTCACTCTTCATGAGCTTACTTCCCAGAGTTCTACTATGTGGGCCATGAACATATTAATGATTTTGAAGATTTATTTATTTACTTATTTGAAAGTCATGGTTAGAGAGGGAGAGACTGAGAGAAAGGTCTTCCACCTGCTGGTTCACTCCCCAGATGGCCAGAATGTCCAGGCCAGGGCAAGGGCGAAGCCAGGAGCCTGTCTCTACCCCTGTCTCCTATGTGGGTGTAGTGGCCCAGGTACTGGGGCCATCCTCCGCTGCTTTCCCAGGGGCACTAGGGAGCTGGATAGGAAGTGGAGCAGCCGAGACTCGAACCAGAACCCAGATTATATTAAATTTGGTGCAGGCTCTTGTCTCCTTCCAAGACAGAAACACAAAATGCAGACCGGCCCCACGTGCAAATAGGAAGGAGGTTATGTAGCACCCAGGAAACACACACACATTCAGGCCCAGGATGGGCTGCCCCGCACAGAGAAATGCTCAACAAGAGCGGGCCAAAGAACTGCCCGTGGACAAGAAAGAGAAAAAAACGAAAATGGTACCTACGGTTTGGTTGGTCCATGCACACGTCGGAGATAGAGAGCAGGAAAGCACCAAGGTGGACGGCTCTGCACGGGGAAAAGCACGCACAAGCGGTCCCTGGCTCCCGGTGTGCAGCGCTCCACGGAGAAAGAGGAAAACGGCAGCCTTCATCCGCGCTGGAGGTGCAGCTCCTTCCGGCTGGTGCGCCCTCCGAGTAGCTCCACGAATGTGTTGGGGTGCGAGCACGCATCCTGGACCTGGATGTGACAGGTGCATTCTGGGAAGGCGGATGTCATCACACTGACAGTTAAAGACACAGCCTTCCACTGCAGGAGAGGAAGAGTTCCAGGCCCTAACCCTGACTAGTGACACCGTCTCACCGCCACGTTCTCTGAGAACCCACTGCACCACAGTGCCGGCCCCAATAGGTTTTTAAAATGGATTCAATGAGGGCCGGTGCTGTGGCATAGCAGATAAAGCTGCCTCCTACAGTGCCGGCATCCCATATGGGCACTGGTTTGAGACCCGGTTGTTCCACTTCCGACCAGCTTTCTACTATGACCTGGGAAAGCTGTAGAAGATGGCTCAAGTCCTTGGGCCCCGGCACCCATATGGGGGACCTGGAAGAAGCTCCTGGCTCTTGGCTTCAGATTGGGGCAGCTCTGGCCATTGCAGTCCTCGGGGAGTGAACCAGGGGATGGAAGGATGGAAGACTCTCTCTCTCTCTCTCTCTCTCTGATCTCTCCTTCTCTCCCTCTGTGTAACTGTGACTTTCAAGTAAAATAAATAAATCTTTTAAAACAAAATTGATTCAATGATTGAACCAAAAATTATAACATTCACCTGATGAATTTTTAATGTGGATTGTTGGGATATGTGGAATATGTAAGAAAACTATGACATAGAAGAGAAAAGAAAGGACCTACCTGATGGTAAAATTTCTCCCTGATACGGCAAAACTGTTACGAGCCTATGAAAAAGAAAGTGTGTGTTATACTTCTGAGGGCAGTCACTAACAATCTATAGAAACAGATAATGTATACATCACAACTGATAAATTAAAATGGAATGAAAAACCATGCAAGTCACCTGACAGCAAGAAAGGAGAAACTGAAATAAAGGAGTTCAATGTCAAAAAACAGATGATGAAATTGGGCTAAATCCAAAACTATCAATGAGTATGTTGAATGCAGCTGGCCTAAACACAGCAAGTGAAGGAGAGAAATTTTCAGAAAGGATTTTATTTTAAATGACCCCTCCTGATGCTGTCTATGACAAACTTACTTCAAATACATCGAAATAGATAAAGTAGTAAAAGGGGTAAATAAATACATCCTGTGCAACATTAATCCAAAAAATTTGAACGACTGTATTAATACTAGAGAAAGTACAATTTGGAGCAGAGAAAATTAGAAGGAGTTAGAAGGGTCATGGCATGTTGCCCAAAGGTGCAATTAAAAAAAAAAACAATAAAATGATTCTACATGCATATTACATAGCAACATAACTTCACTATGCAAAGTTGACGAAAATCGAAAGAGAAATAGAAATATTTACAATTTTATTTGTAATTGTTGACGCATCAGTTAGTAACAGATAGGACTAGAAGACAATCAGTTAAGGATATTGAAGAATTGCATCAAACTTTCAATCAAATGGGTATAACTGATGTTTTTAGAATACTGCACCCAAAAATAACAGAAGACCCATTTTTTAAGTCCGTAAGGAAATTCACCAATGTAGCCCATTCTTCATCATAAAACAGACTTTCAAATTTTTTTAAAGAAACTAAATGCTATAAAGAATGTTATTAGATGTAAATTTATTTAATTTATAAATTAATACTACAAAGATAGCTGGAAAACTTCCAATCTTGGAGTAAAACAACACACTTCCTTTTTTTTAAAGATTTATTTATTTTATTTGAAAGGCAGAGCTACATAGAGAGAGAAGGAGAGCAGAGAGAGAGAGAGAGAGAGAGAGAGGTCTTCCATCTGCTGGTTCACTCCCCTATTGGCAGCAACAGCCAGAGCTGAGCCAATCTGAAGCCAGGAGCCAGGTCTCCCATGCGGTGCAGGGGCCCAAGGACATAGCCCATCTTTACTGTTTTCCCAGGCCAGAAAGCTGGATACGAAAAGGAGCAATCGGGACTCAAAGCGGTGCCCATATAGGATGCTGGCATTGCAGGTGGCAGCCTTACATGCTAGGCCACAGTGCTGGCCCCACGATACACTTCTAAATCCCTAAGTCAAAGAGGAAGTCTCAAGATAAATTAGAAAAGGATATAACTTTAAAAAATTTAAAATGCAGATGTATCAGAGTTATACAGATGCAACTTAAGCAGTATTTGGAGTAAAATTCATAGCAATAAAGGCATTTATTAGAAGAGAAGAGATATCTATTCAACAATAATTTTTAGTTTAAAAAAATAACAAAGAACAAAAAAAACTAAGCCAAGCATAAGGGAGCAACTAATAAGTCAAAGAGTGAAACAGATTAAAATTGAAAACAAAACAAAAAACTAGTGAACACAAAAACTGCGTCAGCAAAACTGATATATCTTTATTGCAATGATAAAGAAAAAGAGAAGACAAATTATGGAGGTGCCACACACCACATATACATTAGAAGGATAGTAAGTGGGGCCAGTGCTGTGGTGTAGCAGGTAAAGCTGCCTGCAACACTGGCATCCCATATAGGTGATGGTTTGGGTCCCAGCTCCTCTTCTGATCCAGCTCTCTGCTATGGCCTGGGAAAGCAGTGGAAGATGGCCCAAGTGCTTGCACCTCTGCACCCACGTGGGAGACCCAGAGGAAGCTCCTGGCTCAAGCCTGGTCCAGCCCTGGCCGTTGTGGCCATCTGGTGAGTAAACCAGCAGATGGAAGATCTCTCTGTAACTCTGACTTGCTAATAAATAAATAAATATTTTTAAGAAAGACAGTGAGCTAAAATTCTGCTGAGCTTTATGTACTTAACACTTTATCTGAAATAATACATTTCCCTGAAAGCTATAAACTATAAGCTTAAACAAGATGAAATGAATTAATGATTCTTATAAATATCAAAGCAATAGAATTTTTAGTTTGGCAAAATCTTCTGAAAGATAGCTCTCTACTCCCTGATGGTTTTAGAGGTGAATTATGCCAAATATTCAAAGAAATGACAACAATTATACACACTGTCTTTCAGAAACTAAAAGAAACACTTTCTAAATCATTTTCTCCCACTCTGTGCAATAACTACACAGGCACAACAGAGAAAGGAATATATTTAAGAAGTGGCAGACAAGAATACTAACATGACTTTTAACTTCAATGCTTCAATGAAGGTGCTTGCATCTCTATGCAGTAGCTGCTTAAATCAAAGAGGTCAGGCCCACATATATGATTGTAGAATCGTTACCATAAATCAAATCTCCATTACTTTATATGTATGTTACTAAAAGCAAGGATATCATAAGTTATTTCCTGCAATCAATTTTCATGTATGGTTTCCACTCATCAAAACACAACTAAACGAAACCGCTGTCAGGGACACACATATTTACTACTCCCCGAGGTTATCATTTTCTGAAATCTTTGCGTAGCTACATTTGACAACTGAAATGTCATACTTTGAGGACACAGGCATCAGCCTCTCAAATCTAAGTTGTACAAACAAAAGGACAGCCCCAACTGTTTCAGTTTCATTAGGACAAGAAAGGCATCCACATTCACCTTGGAATCATATATTTGGCCAAATGTTCAGTGGAGTCACACTTTTCTTTTTTATTAAATTTTAAAACCTTAACTGATTCCTTTCTTCCACTTTTTAACCTTTTTTATGGAAGAAATCTTGACAATTATTAGAATGATAGAATACAGCAGTAAAGTACTTGGCACATTACTGAGTTAGTAACTACAGGATGAAAATGTAAGGAACTCATTCCTTACAGGCATGCACTAAGGGGACAAAGAAGAGGGGAACCATCCTTGCAGCGGTTAGCCAAACAGTTAAGAGGATAGGAAGAGGCCTATGTAGGTCCAATAAGACAATGCCTGGGTTTAATTCTGGGTTTCATCCTGGGATTCCAGCTCCTACAAACATGGTTCCAGTGAGACAGCTGATGCTGACTCCAGTAGTTATCTCACATCTGCCCACTTGGGAGACCTGAACCTGTGCTTCAAAGCCTTGGTTCTCAGATTCAGCCTGGTCATGTTCCAGGAGTTGCAGGAATACAGGGATTGATCCATCTATGGGATCTGTTTTGTTTGAACTGGTACATGCCTGTTTTCTTCTTTCTCTTTTGAACAGTTTTTAAGACAGAAAAACAACCATTCCCTTCTCTGTTTTAACATCAACTAATGCTTATTTTTAAAAAATCACACACACACACACACACACACACACATACCACACACACAGAGAGAGAGAGAGAGAGAGAGAGAGAGATAAATAAACATAAGAGACCATACCTGCTGGTGGCCGTGGTCCCTCAGGAGCCCATGAGGCTGTCTGCTCACTGATGGGAGGGGCGGTGTATTGCTGGAGATGCCACCATACACGGCTATGGGGGCACTGAGAAGGTGGACATGGCTGGGAGCCCACTGTTGACCTCAGCTCCATGCAGCTAGTAGTCCTTATGCTCCTAGTACATAATACCAAATGCACTGTGGCCTCAAAACCTACAAACCACTGCCCATCCAGAGGGGTAGGTGGATGAGCTCCCACCCAGCAAGGGCCTGAAACCATCCTGGTCTGAGGGGCTCTAGAGCTCCAAGGAAGGGTGCAGGCTGGCCAGGTAGACAGCTGAGGAGCAGGTGCTACAGGGAGTCTTGGCAGATGGGTAGGCAAAGGCATCCTGCCTTAGTGCACCTAAGCTGGGATGGGGTGGGGGGTACAATGAGGAAGGAAGAACAAGTAGAATCTTCTGGACATTCTTGGGCTGTGAGCCCAGTGGCCACCTGAGGCTCTCCCCAAGGGTTCGAGGTTACGAGGAAAGTGAGTCCAACGTGGTGGGCCAGAAGGAATGGGAGGATATACAGAGAGGACAGAGTGGGAGGCAAGTATGTAGGCCCTCAAGTAGGTTGAAGCTAACATAGAGTAGGAGGATGGTGGTGCAATGGTGGAAACTGGGTGGATGAGGGTCTCGTAGATGACTAGAAGTGTAAGGCTGCAACGGAGGAAGAAACAGAAGGAGAATGAAGGCATACACAGATTACAACATTTTTAATGACAGATTAGAGTACGTGATGCAGTTGGGAACCAAATCCTGGTTTGAAATCCAAATTCCATACATGACCAAGCACCAGTTTCGATTCAATTTCCTGCTAATGCACACACACGGAGGCAGTAGATGTTGACTCAATCATCTGGTTCCCTTCCTCCAACGTGGGAGGCTTGGACTGAGTTCCCGGCTCCTAGCTTTGGCCTGGCCCAGCCCCAGCAGTTGCAGGCAGTCGAGCAGTGAAGCAGCAGAGGAAAGGAACTCTGTTGGGATTGCTTTACCGAGCAGGTCTGACCGAAGTGATCTTCCCAAAGATCTCCAATGTTTTAGAAATGGGCCTGATAGGAGCTGGCACTATGGCACGGTCAGTTAAGCCGCAGCCCACAATGCCAGCATCCCATGTGAGCACAGGTTCGAGTCCCAATGCTCCACTTCATTCCATCTCCCTGCTAATCTGCCAGTGAAAACAGTTGATGAGGCCTAAGTGTTTGGGTCCATGCACCACTTTGGGAGACCCGGATGCAGTTCCAGGCTTCTGCCTTTGGCCTGGCCTAACGCTTTCCATTGTGGCCATTTGGGGAGTGAAGTAGCAGATGGAAGATCTCCCTGTCAACTCTGCCTTTCAACTAAACAAATCTTTAATGAGATGGACCTACAAGACCTTGTTCCCCGGGACCAAAAGTTTCATGAGAAGCCAGTTTCAGTATTTCCCGATACCGATCAGCAAGTAAGTGGTATGTATGTTGAGGAAGTACTTAGTTCTA